TAAAAAAATCGAATACACGTACAAATTACAAGTACATTTTTCCCAAAGATGGTTTCTGTCATTTAGGTAGTTCTTATCACACTGATGTATGTTTAAGTGATTTTTCTAATAAGTTTGGTTTTAGTTATTTGATGGTATAAAAACAGCATGCACAAAACCTTATTAACATTATAAGTGAGCCTCAAGGAACATATTAAAATAATTGTAAAAATCCAGCGGCTCGACCTCTAAAAATTTATATTTTCAATACCTGCACTTATTCAAGGAACACAAGGAATGACTTTCATATGAACATGTGCAGATGTAAATGAATACTACAGTGGATATTCCAAGGGTGTTTACACCACCAAATCCAATGAAAAAAAACTTCTGATTTTTAGGAACTCAAATGTTTAATCAGGTAATTGCAACCAGGTAATGAATCTTCATGACATGGCTAATGTAAAACTAATACGCCTAATGCGGTTCAAGTGTGTGCAGTATTACAAAGATGTACTGAACTCAAATGCTGAAATAAGTTCGACAAATGTGGACATACAGTATTTAATCAAAATGAAATAATAAACATCACTTACTGTAAGACTGAACCTCCATCAGGAGCTGAAAAACCATGAAGATGAAGAACTCCATTACAGCGAGTGTGAGAAAAGAGACTGAATGAGACTCTCACAGTGAGTGAATTAGGAAATGGTACATCAGACCACAAACTATTTAATGCACTGTGTGGTCATTTCTATGAAGATGAATGTTGATCATGAGACCATATGTACAGCTGTCTTCACTTTAACAGATGACAGATCTGGGGCAAAGACTCACACTAAAAGAAAGAAGGTAGTTTTGTAAAAGTAACATATAAATGTGCCAAAACACCTGTACAATTAATACACTTGAAAAAGACTAGATCATAGTATCAAAATTAAAACTGTGGAATACATTATTCACATTAAAGTCACTTTATTAGGTACACGTTTGCTCAATAATGCATAAAACATGCTTACAAAAGTCAAGCGGTTTAGTTGCTCATTGATCAGACAATTGACAGAGAAAATAATACAACTTAAACAAGTAAGTCACTATGCCAATTTTGTGAAATTGTTTATAACATACTGCAACTTTGTGTACATGTATATATTACAATATATGATTTAAAAAGTATTTGAAAAACGACATGAATTAGACTGAATATTTCTTAAGCCTCAGATCTGTACCAATCGCTAGTCTCAGACTGATTCGGCATCACTGAACTCCACAGATGACTCACAGATGCTTTCAGCTACATTTAACACATTTCACCAATATAAGATGTCTTTTCTCCCAAAATCAAAATGCACAGATTCTGTCTGGCCTGCTGTTTAGAATATGAATTCAGTTGCTTTATGCTGTATTATCTTTCTGTACTTGTCATTTTTTTCTTCAGAGGCAACAAGTGAAGAACATAAACAGGTCATCCATGTTTTGAGGAAGTTAAAAGAGATGTTGTTTCCATCTGGCAGGAGGTGTAGTTCAGCTCTGTGAGAACATCAGCAGAACCTGCAGAGATACAGACTTTATTATCATATGTTACTATATTATGGAGTTCAGTTTATACACAACTAAACCTGTACATTATACTTACTGGTAAAGCGGCACAGACAGATGAATCCTATGAGTCCAGACAGAAATAAACCAATACCAGTGAAAACCAGCACTAAAAGCCATGAGCCTGTCAAAAGTACAAATTATTTAATGATTTGATTTAATCAAGTTTTTTT